TCACTTGTCCTGTCACGTGCGGTATTTGTCTTGCGCTTGTTTTCTTCTTTCCTGTTGTTATTTTGTCTAATAGGTTTTTTCCCCTCCTCTTGACCTTTAGGTCTATCAAAAGAAACAGAAAGAGGTGGGAGCAAAGGTGAAAGGCAGTTCTCCCCAAATTCATGAACCAGTTTTGTGCCTTCTGTTCATGAATCACCAGGATGAGCAAACTAAATGGTGAAAGAAGTCCTTGCACTCCCACGAACTCGCTCTGTGACCTCAGACGCTTCCCTGCCTTGGCTGTAGTTCTTCATTTGTAAAATGAGCATGATGAATCAGGTTGTCTTTCTAATAGTACCACATTACAATTCTAAGAAGTTCAAGAATTATGTGCCGCTCTCAATAGATTTAAGAGCTAGTTGGGCACACAGGCATAGAGACATGAAATATTAACAGGTCAGACTAATAAAATGTCAACTGTCACCTGTTAGGGACTGTATATGAGTTTTCTACATGGCACAAAGTTTAACCCTTTAAGCATTGAAACCATGCCAAATAGCTTTAAGGAAGATTTGAGTAAAAATATATAAATGGATTTTCTTAAAAGAAGTATAGGGAATTAGTCATTCATTAAATATACTGAGCATAATGTAACTTCTTGACAAGACAGGATCAACATGAATAGCAAATCATTACTGGTAATATGTATTGATGATGTGGTTGGTGTGGAAAGCACAGGATTAAAATGAACCCAATCTTTGCTATGGTGTTGGGACTTGCTTTTTTAAAAAAAGTCTCTTGAAAATAAAGTGTGTGTGTGTGTCTACATAAATGACACTGGTGTATACATATATAATACGTAACTATACAATGACCTAACAACATATATTTGGTGGGGAGAAGGGGTTGTTTCGCCTTCTTTCTTTAACTGGAGCAACAGCATGTAGTGCTGCATGACACGTGGCCACCTCACTATAGGGGCTGAAGCTGCCTCCTACCGAGTGGTTTTCTAAGCCTCCTACAAAAGATCTTCATCATTAACTTGCCACAGTATTTGAAAACCCCATTTCTGATTTCTCAAACACTAATAAAGAACCTTAGGCTCCTTCTCATCAGTTTATACTAATTCTTGAAAAAAGTGTCATGGAAAATGTGTGAGCTTTGACATCAGGCCTGGGTATTAATGCCAGATCTTCCATTTGCTAAATGTGACACTTTAGACAGGCAAGTTATTTAATCATTTTGTGACTCTTTTCATCTATACAAAGAGATAAAAACATCTGTCTTATGTGGTGGCTGTGACTCACAATGAGACAGTGCATAACAATTATCTACTAATTGGGAAAAGCTGTTAATGTTACCCCATTCCCCCAAAACATTTGCTCATGGAAAGGAAGAGAATTTTTCACTATTTAAAAAATCTTTCCAGTATTTCAAGGCCTAGTGTTTTTTTTTATCGATAAGGATAACAATTATGCAAATATATGAAGCCACAATCTTTTTTAAAGGTCTCCTTAATATCTAACTTGGAACAAAATTTCTGGCACAGACAATAAAAATTATATCTTTGTAATTATGGTGTGTTTGAAGTTCTGTTTAAGGCACTTTTGACAAGTCAATTTCTCATGAAATATTGTTTCATAAAGGTTTAAATTAAAAAAAAAAAATAGCTCGATTACTAAAGCAGCACTATGGGTAAAAATATATCCAGTCACTGCTCCTCCCGTTTCATCTAAAAAGTATAGTAGTCTAACATAATTTACCCACCTTCAGTTACACCTATGTACTAAACTAAAATTTTAATGAGGAATCAATGATTTAACCAGTCAGAAAAAATTCTTACTAATTGTTTAACAGACAAGTAAATAAAACCACAGGTCTAGAGCCAGAAGGAACTTTCAAGATTGTTTGGTTAAATTTCTACCACAGGCTTTCACAGCTATTGAGCCATCGGAAGTTGAACTTAATGGGAGTTCGTGCAAACTCATTCTGCTAGAACCTAGAAAAACTTGATAGTGCACTGTCAGAGGACACTTTCTGGCCATTGTACCCAGCTGCACTGTACAACTGTTCAAGGGTCAGACGACTCAAAAAGGAGAAAATGCACAGAATCTTTAGTCTTTCATCAGCTGTATATGACCTTCTAACGTCCCACCTTAGTTTGAATTCACTTCCCAGGAAACTTCTACAAATGTACATGGTTTAATCAGCTGAACTTTTAAATTTAAAAGTACATTCTCAAAAAACCCGCTCTTAAAAGGAGTTTATGAAATACAAAGGTGGCATACAGTTTGAAAGTAGTATCTGTGAATTGAAGGGTCTGTAATATTACAGGAGTTGAGGGTTTTTTTCACATCTTGAGTCCAGTCAGAGTATAATTGAGATGAATCATTTGTTTAAGTTGGGATTTAGTAGATGAGTTCTACACTTAAGAAAATAACATATGGGAAACAATAAACAACATTTCCTTCTAGGGAGTCAGTCTAGTTCAGTGGTTCTCAAAGTGTCTCCACACCAGCAACATCAGCATTAACCTTGGACGTTGCTAGAAATGCAAATTCTTGAAACTTACTTCAGAGCTACAAAATCAGAAACTCTGGGGATGCAGAGTGGAGAGCAAAGTATATTTTTAGGGCAGAAACAGTCTAAATATAAAAAGCATAAATTTCTCTGGAGTAAAGTTTGAGGTCTATGTCTTAGAAATCTGAGTGTACAAAATGGGTACAAAATGATAAACTCTAACAATAGGCATGTCTATATAACTATATAATCTATGTGGCTATATAACATAGAGTATTATATATATTATTATATATAGTATTTATTATAATACAGAATACTATAATATATAAAACTATGTATTCATATTGATATCTTAATTTTTTATCATAGTGAAAAACAAATAGTAACAATATTTATGATTTACATTTATAAAAGTTTTATTGTTATATGAGTAGCTGGAGTTCAAATGCAAGATTTCTGAGTCAAGATCAGGATCCTCCCCCATATCATGTGGTACCATATTGATTATCATATGGAGTTTTTCCAATTTTTTTTATTGTGATAAAATGGATTATCATGTGTTTTAAAAGAAAACTATAAAAACGGAAAAAGAGCAGCATTATAATAAGAATAAAATATTCAAAACTACTTTCACTCTAAACTAGAAAAATCAACAGACAATTGATTAATATTTTTCACAGACGTCTTCTGTCCTTTGAATTTAGCAGGTAGCCTGCAGATAACTTTTTCAGGGTAAGGGTACAAATCTTTGTGCTCCTTCATATTTCTCACTACGTAAGTCTCAAAAAATATGCCTTTAAATGACAAAATATACAATCGTAAAATGAACACACCAAAGATAATAATAAACAGGGCTGGTTAAGTGCAATAAGAACAAGTACAGTAAAAATAAACGCTTAGAAAATACACAAAAGTTACTGAAAAGCAGAGATAAGTGTCACGCTATTTCTTTTAACGCTCCAGCCTAGACATTCTCTCCCTTTGTGATCTCAACGGTTAAAAGTACTCTTTAAAAATCTATTCCTGGCTTCTGAAAATACACTCTTGACAAAGTTCTACCAGGAAATGTACTTGGCAACTAGCTGACTCAGCAGAGAGCTAATCTATCCAATCTTAAAGACTCAGTAAATAGTACACATCCTTTTCCACTGGTTCTTACATTTCCTTTCTACTGAAATAACCTGCATTAGGATTTGAGGACTTCCTATACTGCTCTGAAAAGGTTACAGAAATTATTAAAACGACTATTAAACACAATCCAGAAGTGATTTTATACTATGGCCCAGTATGGAGCCCGCATTAGAAATAATATTTAATAAAAGCCATTCCCCACTGTAATGTTGTATGTCAATTATACCTCAATTTAAAAAAAGCCACTCTTAATATTTTTTGAGAATTTGCAAAAAGGAGGTAAATTAGTATTTAGAAATATACAGAACACATGCCCTTTAGGAGCTAACCTTCTTTTATTCAAAATTGGAAAATAGTACGTATCAGCAAAACCACACATAGCACTAGGGCTTAACTTCAATCTCATCTTAATTTTATTATAATTTTCTAACAACTTTTTCCTAAAAAAGGCATGAAGAGTATGAAAGTAAGTGTGACCTTATGCATTTCTAATTGTCCCTCAATGAGGGGCTTGTTCAATAAAATGAAGGTACATTCATTCAGTAAAATACTATGCCACTCTTTAGTACTGATATGGAATGATTTCCAAGATGAAGTGCAAAACAAGGTGCAGAATAGTGTATATAATATCCTTATCTTCTCCAAAAATACATATAATTACTTGTCTGTGTGGAGAGTAGCTCTAGAATGATACATAAGAAACTAAAACACTGACTGTATCCAGGGAGGGGAAGTGAGTAGTTGGAGAATAAAGGTGGAAGGGGGTTTTTTCACTGTGTATTATCTTTTGCCTTTTGAATTATGTACCACGGCCAAGTATTATTTATTCAAGAAAGGAAAAAACCCTCTTCTTTTGATATTCCATATGTTGTATGGCTAGCTCATAATTTTCTAAGCTTATTACTGTTTCCCTAGCACTACACTGTCAACATATTATGATATTTTTTCAAATCAAATCAATACCCATTTAGCAGTGGGTCCCTAAGCTGCATGGCTTCCATGGGCTTTTATTTACGACAGCCTTTAAAAGAATGTTAAAATGAGGTTGGCTGCAGGTTCCAAAACTGCTATGAGGAAAGAAAGTTGAGATCTAAAAGTGTTTTCAAAATAGACCACAGGAGAAACCTAGCGTTACACTTAAAACTTTTTCTCAATAAAAAAAGTGTTATGTTTTAGAACTAAGGTTTTGTGTCATCTTTCATAGTCACCTTCCTATATGATTATCAAAACTCACTACTTCATTGTGCAAAGCATATTAGGATGTACATATATGTTTTATAAAATTAACTCAATAAATGTTATGTGCATATTCTTTTTCATGAAGGAAAAAAAGAATAAAACTGAAACAGATACACCCACATTCCTACCTTCAAAAATCTCTCATCGGTCAATAGCGCAACTTGCTTTTCTGAAGCTTGCTTTTCCACGTACCTAAAATTTTTACCATCCCACACACAAAAAGAGAAAATTAAACATTCTAAATATTTGAATGCCATATGAGGAAAAAGAACTACGTAGACTGGTGGCCACATTCTTTCATTTCTTCTCAAAAATAAATTCAAGATGACAGTCATGGTTTAACAGTAATTTTTAACTCCTTAAATCAGCTGCAGTTCATAGTCTAAAGGTCTAATCAGAAACAAAGGCCATAGACTCCAGAAATAGGAAATGTTATTTATAAAAAGTAATTCTAGAAAACCTGCAAATTATGTCCCCTGGTAAAAATATTTTTCTTTATGGCAAATTTTCAAATACAACAAAGATATCTCACAATTAGAAGGGTTTTATTTTGCTCTGAACAAAACAAAAAGGTTATTTTTCCTTTCCCCACTTCAAAAATAACTGGATCTGAGATTCCTTATTTTACCCTGAACTCTATTATAAGATGTGTTAAATATGTACTTCTCTTTTTACCTCCTAAATGATGGAAGACGTCGGATGTTTTCACATTGATTATCTGATAAAGAATGTATTCTTCTCTTGGCTTCTGGGAGACTGCAGCACAGAACACTGAGAGGCTGGGAATAGAAATGCTCTAATAGAGAAAGCTGAAAGAAATGTGAAGATTAAATATATTTGTTATACTTTGGCAGTAAATCGTTTGCCCTATGTCTGCTCAATTTTAAGGTGTCTTTTTTTAAACAGCAAAAGTATTTATGGCACTAATATATTTAATAATGTCACAATAACACTGCAAACAATGCATAAATGGTACCATACCTTTAATATTTTAAGGCTCCAATTTTGCAAAGTGAGAAAATTGTAATCTCTGAAGTATAAACTAAAAGAAACTAATATAAACGGATAGATAAGCTGTCAGAAGCAACTCACTTACAATAACAGTCAATGCAGTGGGGATAAGACTGGGCTGTCACCTAAAAGTCTAATAACAACGTAAATACTTAGTAAAGTGCCCGGCACAAAGGAGGTGCTTAGTCAATATTCATACACCAAATACTCATAAGAAAATACTGATCTAAAATCACTGTAAAAACTGGTCTGCTAAGTAAATAAAAATGCTTCAATGGTAGAAGCTTTGCCTATTGATAAAAGAGAATAATGAAAAATGAGGGATGGCTAAAGAAAATGCATCCTTTTAAATTCATGTTTTATCTCATGGAGGAAAACATAGTGCAATATCTGGTAGATATAAGTATTCTAGTGACTAGAATGCTATCTATGGTCTCCTGCAGTACAAGGGGTTATGATTTTCCAGATTCTCCCATAACTTGTAAGATACATCTCACAAGACTATCCAAATGTTAAAAACTGACTCTAGCGACCAGTTTGGTTTTTCCAGATTCCTTGATACTGGAGAGACAGTTCCCTAGATAGCGGACAAAACACATTCTGGTCACTGGAAAACAGCATTCTCCATCACAAATTAATAAATTGACATACTAGCTTATATATCAGTCTAAAGGTATTTGAGCTTGATCCTTCCCAGGTAAACTGAAAATGAATTTCTCAGCCCATATAACTGAGGATCAGATACCCAAGGCTAAAGGAAATCCTCCAAAATAGTCCATTCCAGAAGAAATATAAGGCTGTAAGGTAAAGGGCCAGCCTAACTTAGACATAAGTATAAAATAAAATGCAACTGTTCATGTCAAGTGCTAAATTATTTTTGCACATATTAACAATCTTGTTTCTTACATTTTCCAATTATATTAATGTGATAATATTTATTCTGATGTTAACACCACTTTTTACACATGAGAAAAGTAAAAACCAAACATGATACCAGATTTGCTGAGGAGGAATGGGAGGAAATCACATGAGTTACAGTACAACTATAAATAGGATAAGGACCCAGCATTACTTAACTATTTTGTCCAAGTGTGTTCTCACACCCAGGTCAATTAATAAGTTGGTTAACATATCCACCTAATTATGGAAGGACTTAAATATATACAGAATGATTACCTGCCCTATTGAACCTCCTGCAGAAATCAGGACTACACATACTTCCTACTGATAATTAGGAGCACTGGACTAATGGAGTGTAAAGGCTCTGCCACTTATTAGCCATGCAACCTTGGCCAAACCATTTAACCCAAGCCTCTGTTTCTTCATGTGCAAAACTGAGGACAATAATACATATTAATGAAACAACATAAATACTGAGTAAAGTCCCCAGCACAAAGGAGGTGCTTAGTCAATTATCAGGAACCTATAAAAATCATCTAATCTGGGGTCCCACCTGCTGGCGCAGCAGTTAAATTTACATGTTCCGCTTTGGCGGTTCGCTGGTTTGGATCCCGGGTGCAGACCTAGCACCACTTGTCAAGCCATGCTGTGGCAAGAGTCCCACATATAAAGTAGAGGAAGACGGGCAGGGATGTTAGCTTAGGGCCAGTCTTCCTCAGCAAAAAGAGGAGGATTGGCGGTGGATGTTAGCTCAGGGCTAATCTTCCTCAAAGAGAAAAAAAAATCACCTAATCTGATCCCCTCATTTATAGATGAAAAAACCAAGACCCAGAGAGATTAAGTAACCTGGTTAATGTCTTTTTCTTCAGTCACTTTCTCAATGGTATTTGAGACTACAGTTTATATTTCCTAAAACTCTTCCCTCCAGTGCAATGATACTCTACTTTCCACTGGATTTCTTTACTGTGCTTAGTCTCCTTTTGCATTGCTCACTCTTCTGTGTCATCTTGCCTTAGGGTTCTACCTCAGTCCTTTCTTCACTCCTCTGGGTGATGCCTGATCCTCATTACATGACGTCAACTACCACCTTTCAATGATAAATCCTAAATATTTCTAGTCCAGATCTTACTCCTGAGTGCCAAATCTTTATATCCAACATACCCCAAATTAACCATATACAAAAAGAAGTTCATCCTTTTCTAACAAACTGGCTCTTCACTTTATATTAACATGTACACTTAATAAATGGTACCAACCGCCAATCCATCTGCCAAGCTAGAACTGTGTCTGTCGCCAATGTTCCTCTCTTACATATCCTATGATCCGCTTAGTCACTAGGTTCTATTGATTCTCTCTCATCCTCAAATTTGTTTCCTCCTCTCCAGTCCCACTATCACTGCCTTAGTTTAGCCCTTGTCATATCCTGTCTACATTACTGCCATAGCCCTCTAATAGATCTCTCTCCCTCTATTGTGGCCTTTGCCTGGAATGCTCTTCCAGTTTTGACCTGGCTAATTCCTATTCCTCAGGATACACTTCTGCTCGCCTACGGAATCCCCAGGCAGGTTTCTTTCACAGCAGTGACTACTCAGAACTGTAACTGCAGGTTTACTCTTCTGCTTCACAGTGAGTGATTTGAAGGCAGATTTCTTTGTTCTCTGTATCTCCAGGGCTCAGCATAGTGCTTGGCTTATAGGAGGCTCCTGATGATACTTATGAGTACATAGATGAGTGAATGAAATAAATGAGAAGTAAATTAGAAAGTTTTTTATCTCAATATCATTTAATTTCACATATTGCTAAGGTAAATGATATTTTCTTACTTTAAAATACTCTTTTTAAATTTGAAACACACACACACACACACACACACACACACATTAGTCATAAGAGACCACTACAGTGTTTTATGTGGAGAAAGAATACATATGAGAAATAATTTATAATCTTCAAGGCACTACACAACATGAGGTATTATCATATTGCACTTTGTACCAAAGGTTACTAACATATAGGTTTCAATGAACTTAACAACTGGCATGTGTTCACAATGACTACACTTTGCTGAGGTATTTTAGGTAGTTGCCAAGAGAAGGAAATAACATTAACTTTTAAACAACTGGTGAATAGGGTCTTTTTTTAGATTAGAACAGATGTTATGAATCTAAGTTCATGAAGTTTCTTCCAGCAATTTGTGAAACCTTAGTGAAAATGGATTTCCAACATATAAGAATAAATATAAATGAACACACACATATATATGTGCAGGAGAGAGCAAACTACAGCTCACAGCTTACTTTTGTATGGCCCAGGAACTAGGAATGTTTTTTACATCTTTAAAGGGTTATTTAAAAAAAGAAAAATATGGGGGCTGGCCCTGTGGCCGAGTGGTTAAGTTCGCGCGCGCTCCGCTGCAGGTGGCCCAGTGTTTCATTGGTTCGAATCCTGGGCGTGGACATGGCACTGCTCATGAAACCAGGCTGAGGCAGCGTCCCACGTGCCACAACTAGAAGGATCCACAAAGAAGAATATACAACTATGTACCGGGGGGCTTTGGGGAGAAAAAGGAAAAAAATAAAATCTTAAAAAAAAAAAAAGAAAAATATGCAACAAAGACCATAGGGAGCATGCAAAGCCAAAAATATTTAATATCTGCTGCTTTACGGAAAGTTTGCTGACCCCTTATATACAGCATTTCCTAGGTAGAAAGTCCATAAGCTGTCAGCAGATTCTCAAAAAAAGGTCTCTTCCTCCCCACTACCAAGATGGCTAAGAATCACTCGAATGGAGGGAGGTCTTTTTCCACTTTTGACCCCTTAATTAATGTGTTCTCTATATTTTGCTGCAAGATAACAAAGGAATGCTAGAACCTAGAATACTACAACTTGAATTTACTTATCCTAGATTTAGCCATTTAAAATGCCTTAATTATCACAATACATAGTTTGAAAAAACATGCAAATTATTTAGAACCAGCTTGTGAATTTTCAAACCTATTAGTGTCTTCTTACCTGAAGTCCTTTTATAAAGTTCTGAATTGAGAAATCATGATACAAAAAGATATTGGTCAGAATCTGTAACACTTTTTCACTTAGCTTAAAGGGAAACTGAGTTGTAAGAAGTAGCTGAAAGAGATAAAAGGGGGTCAAGGAACACTCCTTGTTATTTTTCACTCTTCAAAAATATCAAGCATAAATAACGAGGCAAAGAATATCATGACACAGTAACTATGAAAGCTATAATTAGTAGGTAGGTTTTTTATGTCAAATATCAATCAAAATTTTAAATTAATTTATACAACAGTATCAACCAAAAAAAGAAGCTATTCATACTACATCTTCAGAATCAAAGCCATCCATCATCCTCCATCTGACTCCTAATTTTAAAAAACTACTATTAACTATATAATCCCTCTTCTTCCACCAGAAGCTACTGAAGAAGCTGCAGGCTTGGGCAATTCTTGCTATCAGATAAGATTTCTTCTTCATCCCTACTGACATACATGAATAAAGAGTAACACATTATACACTGTCAAATGAGAAACCCAAAATTAAAAGATGTCTATTTAAAAAATATAAAATAGCTGAATTTGTATTATTCAGCCAGTTTTCAAAGGCCTATAGTAAAGATTTTACATCTTAAAATGAAAAGTCATACTAGGCTTTTTAAACAGCAGCATAGTTATAGAAAGCCAACTGAATTTGGCCACAAACAAGCAATTTTAAATACTGTAGCTGGAAAAACTTTCTCTTATGTCGGTAAACCAATGGATATCACCTTTATGAGAAAAAAACGTAGATGTGGTTAGTAAAGAAATGGAAAGTTGTCATTCGTTTACCTTACACAAGCAGTATGAGGCAGACCTTGAAGAAGCTGAGTCTAGCAACAATTTGTGGCAGATCAATACTAAAGAACCCTATTTCTATTTAGGTAGAAACAGAGCTAAAGGTCTGGGGAAACATTAGTATTTATTTTTTGTCAAGAGCAGTACCGACAGGAAAGAGTCCATTAAAAACTTCAAATCACTTTACATACAATGTAAGAATCAAAACATTGTTACTGTTACTAGGAAGCCATTAAATTCTGTAAAACTTTATTTAAAAAACCCACAATATTCTATTGAGTAATGACTGACTGATTGAATGATAGGTAATAGATATAGATAGATATGATCATTCTTTTCATAAAGCTCATATTTTATTTGAAGAGGCAATACTATACCGCTATGAAAATCTTTAATAAAAATTCTCACATATTTAAATATGTGAAAGAATATGTTCAATATCATACTCTGAGAGATGTAGAAATTTATTACTAACATTTATAATCTATTCTTGGCAGTTTTCTTTTCATCTTATTTCACTGGTAAAATTTTTTCTCTTTTTTTTTACCTTATCAAGTACTGTAGTCAGGTGCTCCTTGCAAGACAAAGATTGGAAAAGTTCTATACACAATAGAGATGACACTGCATGAGGAAGCAACCGATGGATGATAATAGGAGATGTGGCGATTCCAAAAATGAGTATTAGTGGAAATTCATGTAGATGTTGACTTTTCAAAGGAAGATACAAAAGTGCAATTTATTTAGCAAATATATTTCAATACATCCTATTTCAAAATAAGACAACTTTTATTTTAATGTCTACTTTATAAGACACTGCCAAAGGAGTATTATGATAAATAGTAAAATTTTCTAGGTCACTCATTTTCCTCTGTTAAATAACATAGAAACAGTTATTTCCTAGACATGCTAGCTCTGAAGTCAACCTTTTAATGGATGTTCTCATTTTATAAATAAGAACACAGAGGTCCAGAGAGATCCAGGGCCTCCGTCTAAGGTTATACCCAACCCCGAGTGTCAGAACAGGTATTAGATACCGTTCCATTTAACCTCTCGCCCGACGTTTGAGCCCTGCCTACAGTCTTCCTCACAGTTACACATCCAGCCTAGGCTTTAAGAGTTCAGTGACATAAAGCTCACTAATGTTCATGGTCACTTACTCTACTTATGGACATTTCTAACAGACACTATGTCACCCAGCCACGACAGCTAAGAATTAGAAACCGTTTCTTAAACATATGTAAGACATATTTTTAATGGACATCATTAAAAAATGTTACATCCTTTCCTCGCATTCTTAACTCAAATTTACTGCACACAATTTATTCTTAGCATTACCAGTATGAACACAAATGGCTTCCACGGAGTAAAATGGCACTATGTTTGAGAGCTACTGCAGGTCAGAGCCCTTTGTATCATGGATAATGACTTTGCTTGCTCCCTCCTGTTAGCTACTGCTTTTCAGTATTCCAGCTGTATGCAGGTCTACCTTCATAGGAGTAAAGTGCCTGGAATCTACTACTGTTGTAAGTTCTTCTTCTTTACTTTTGATGGTAAAATGAGTCACAAGTCTGAGCTCCAAAAAAGTACAGCTTTTCTGTCACTATTCTGTACTGTGCATTTTTCCAGCATGTTAAGCAATTCAGTGTTAGCATTAAGAAAAATCTTAGTATTAGTTTAGTTTCAATGGTAAAATAAAGACACTATCAAACTAGGAATTATAAATATAATAGTAAATTATAACACAATATAGCTTTAGGCAAAGGTAGCCATAACTATTATGCAAGTTAACAAAAAGAAGAAGCCAAAATAAATTTTATCCTCAAAAATGTACCAAGGGAAATGCATGTCACTAGATTACAAAACTGGGTTAGTTACTTCAACTCTGAGTCAAATAGGATTGCTTTGAAGATCCAATGAGATCATGGAAGTTGTTTCTCACAGAAATATTGTACAAGATAATGTTATTTAGAAAACATTCTTGCTCAGTAGAACTATATGTAACTCAGAGCTTCTAAGGGTAGAAGTAAGACCTGACAAAAATATTTCAACCTGGAGCAGTTTATCTATTTAATGGGCAAGTAAGACATAGACAATCTTGGTGAGAAAAACTATATTTCTTACTGCCTTATCATGCTCATTGAAAACTGGCTAACTTTTGTCATTTGATTCTCATTCTTGGGTCAAAAAAGCAAATGAAAATCTGATGGGAGGTCTTTGGGCATTCAATTATAAGGAATGTGAAATCATCTGGGTTTCCATCCAGCTGGTATTAAAATGAAGATTAAATTGCCATTCATTTTCTCCCAAAAAGGTTGCTTTTTAAGTTAAAAGTTATATGTTTTCTTAATAAAACGAACTTTGGCAGAAGCCAGGTGATATACCATCTACCTGCTGATAATTATGAAGTCTTGGAGTACTTTTGTGGTGAAGCTTTCCATATCCTTTAAGATAAGCACAACAGGAGGAGACTGCCATTGGCTAGAAGTCCTCTTTTTCCTTGGCATTTTTGGGTCTGTCTTCTTGTAAGCCATTGTGGAAAGAAGGAGTCAGAAGTAAGCCTTACCACTCAAACAATGCTATAATGCCACATGTTGATGTGTCGCCCTTTACATTTCACAGTAACATTGTTTCTTTTATTTCTCCCACATAATAAATAGAAACTCATGGCAACAGTTATTAGCAGAATCTTTCTGTGTCTGACATGGGAATAATAACCAAGAAGAAAAAGGTTCAGTAAAATCTATAACTCATGAAATATTTACAGTTTTCTGCTATCTGAGAAAATAACAGGAAAAGCATGGAGAAAAGAGAACATTTTCTGTAAATTTGATTTTTCTCTTGGTAGAATGTTATATTTTCCTTTGCTGTAAGGTAAGAACTAGTATTTTTTATTAAAAAGCATAATAACACTACTTGCTGGTCTGCTACTGTAAAATTTCAAGTTGAAAAGCACCTTAAATATCATCTGGTTCGATCCCAATCTTTTAAAGATACCTGACATAAACTACATGTAGTGTTTGATTTCTAGAAAATCTAAAATTGTGGATCAACTTAGATATTATGGTAAGCATTAAAACCAGTTTAATCCCTATATAAAGCAAAATGAAACTTTACTTATGATGACTTCAGCAAATATGTTCATCAGAAAATGCCACCACAGTATTTTTTCCCATACTATCTGGCTACACAACATCATAAACTAAGGTTGTGGTTTTATGGTACAGTGACCCATGAATCACCTAAGTTATTCGTTTTCACCGGAGACTGTCATGGTAGAATGGAACTTCTTTTTATTTATCTGTTTGTTGAATACACTTTACTTACAGAGCATTTATTCCCCAAGAATTCTAAACATGGAACAAATTAAAAAAAAAAAAAATGACTATTCCTCATGAGACTAAGTTGACAATGGGTATTGGCAGCATGGTTCCACTGCACAAAAGCAAATACTGAGGAACCTAGGAGATAATATATCAAAGTTATAGCCATTGTCACAGGGATAGAACCTGCAGCAGAACCAATTCCTGAACTTTTTGTCACTAGAGGATATTCTCCCACAAATAAAATGGCCTTGTAAGAACCTAAACACTTAGGAATTAGGGTGCACATTGATAAAAGAATACTTTTAAACTCTAGGAGCCTTAGGAAAAATAAGTAGCTACTATTAAATTAACAGCTAGTGCTGCATAAGCATATTCTTATTAGAATAAAACAGTACTATGTTTAATCTAATTCAAAGACTCTTCAATCACATGCCAATTTCCTGGTAAAAAATTCTGAGTTTACACTTACCTGTGTGACATTAGTATACCAACTGGAAAGAGAATCCATTGAACAGTGTGTCTTTTTCTGAGCGCTTTCCTCCTCTTTGGATTCTACATCGACACAGCAGTCCATCAACTGTGAGACAAGCTTTTGCAAAAAATGTTTCAAATCTGCAGAATATAAAAGGTAAGAAAGCTTATTTCCCCTAGAGAATAAAGAATGCGTTTTTCTATACTTAACATTAATATAACTAACATAACATTTAACATATTAACTATTAATGGTCATAAGTATCCTCTCTGTAATATTTAAATTTCATTAATTCAGACTAACACTAGGCCAAACTTTATGTACATTATCTACTATAAAAGTATTACCTAAGCAAATGCGTAAACACAAAAACTATGAATTATATAAGGAATAACATACATTTAAATTACACTGGACAACAAAAGTTTTTTAAGGCCCCTCTAAAAGGATCAAAAGTTTTATTTACATAAGATATTTTACTGATTATAAATCTTCCTTATAGTCATCAATAAAGATGTTCTAAGGGCTTTACTTAATTCCAATCAGTTTATGAACATGAAAGTAACATAAGCACAGAAAGCCCTTATATCAGTCCAAATCTAAGCACATTCTACTGTATTGCTGTCCACATTCTTTATGATTTCATGGCTTCAGATACCCAAGATTAGCTCTAGCAATGGACTATTTTTACCACAGTGGGCCTTTCAAAGTGGGACAATAAGATGATTTGAGGCTATAAATATGAGCCTATGTAGTCGACTCTCTGTTGGGCTAACTAAGAGCTCCCTATTCCTCAATTCTCAGCCCCTGTCACAAACCTTCCTATTAAAATTTCACTGAGTTAAGGAACACATCTTGTAAAATGCCTGGACTATTACTGGCAGCGAAGCTGATAGGACAGAGATGGGTTGAAACAAACAAAGCAAAAGGTGGCAAAGAGTCCTGCAACAGTCAAGATCACTGGGAAGCACTAAACCTCACCCTGCCAAAACTGAGGGAGAGAAGGACGAAGAGATTGGTAACATGTCACCAAGGTTATTACGGCATTTATACTTTACCCGGACAATCTTTAGATTGCAGTGAGACTACATATGGTGTGACATGACTCTGAAGGGCTTCTGTGAGACTTCTGAATGTTAAATCATGATCTGTTACATTCACACCTATGGGATAATACATCAATATTACACCATCCTTTTTATTAATAATAATTTAACAATAAGAAAAGCTATTTACTATGTCAAGTGAATTACTAAGTAAAAATATTTTTAAAACATGATTAATAACAGAAACCAAGAAAATATATGAAGAGATCTCCATTAACAACAGACATCTAAAGGCACGTTATACTTATTTGTCAGGAAAGGTATTTAGCACAATTTCTTTTAAAAAATTACTGAGGATGTGTAGTTGACCCTTGAAAACATCTTAGGAGCAATTTCATTACTTTGTAAAATTCACAAAGAGCTCTTTAAAATAATCATTCAAAAATAAGGGGCTATCAGGGCCGGCCCGGTGGTGTAGTGGTTAAGTTCAAGTGCTCTGCTTTGATGGCCTGGGATCCGCGGGTTCAGACCTACACACTGCTCATCATGCCATGCTGTGGTGGCATCCCACATACAAAATAGAGGAAGGGTGGCACAGACGTTAGCTCAGCAACAATCTTCCTCAAGCAACAAGAGGAAGATTGGCAACAGATGTTAGCTCAGGGCCAATCTTCCTCACACACACACACACACACACACACACAAAATAAGGGGCTATGAATTCCATCCTTACTGTGACTCTGACTTAACAAGTGAGGAGGATCCAACCATCAACACTACTAATGATCAAAGTAGTAGCTACAACAGGTAAAATGTACACTAAGTTGATTTCTGAGGGAAGAGCCTAAAAACAAATAAAAACTTCAGAGTCCTTTTGGTATTTACTGAACCTATGGCTCTCATTTCCACAAATCAGAGTTTCAGTGCTCTGCATGCAGTTATCAGAGTCGAGTGGAAATTTGCCCACTATTTTGGGAAAAACTTCTATTAACTGATAATTTCCCTAATGTCACAATCTGTGATTTCTAGAAAGTTTTTGGTGCTTAGGCAGGTACCAGCAGTAGACATCTTGAAATTGCTTGAGACTTGCTACTATAAAACTCCCATTGCTTGGAAGAAAAAGAAAAGTTTCAGAATCATCCATGCTATCAATAAGGAACGTTTTTTTTTCTAGGAGAGCCAACAAATAAAAACGTTGGCAGGGTATTTTTAAATGGATATACCTTTTTGAAAATAAAAAATGTGCAACCGTACTTAAGCATTGAGTATAGATTTTTTTTTATAGTATCAAAACGATATTCCTAGCATGTGTTATGGTCTATGACTGTGATACTGCATGTCTGAACAAATGTGGGAGTTTAGAAAACACTGGCTTATCCTGTCTTTCACTGACTGACTTTATAAGCTATTTAACAATTTGTTCCTTAAAACAATGAACTTGTTTATTACAAACAAGATAATCAACAATGTCTTTAACTGGAAAAATGTTCTCCTCAGACCACTGACTTTGACACATATGATTTCCATTAGCTTCTTTTCTCCTTTTGGCAGTAGGCAGAGCAAGGATTCAAACAGGGTTCTCTCAACAATCTATCAGGTCATCCCTCTTGATTGTGTTTCCCCCCTCCACTTCCACTTGCTGTAACCCAGCAGTAGAGAAACAAAGCACCCAACAGCATAAGCTGGCCATCACTGGGCCTCAGACTCTCGTCTATCAGTTGAAGGGGTTTTGAAATTAAGTGGTAGGCTGCACTGTAAAGCTGGTTCACAGCATTGTAAAAATCATTCCCTGGAGTCTTCTGACTCAGAGCCCTCTCGGGATTAGCAGTATGGCATGAGCTGGAAGCCTGTGAGAAATGCAGAATTTTAGGTCCCACCCCAGACCTATTAACAGAAATCTGCATTTTAATAAGATTTCCTGGAGGTTATTTGTGGGTACATTAAAGTTTGAGAAGTATTGTCCTGAATAGCAGGAATAAGATTTAGGTAATGAACAGTATTAGAGGCAGAATTAATGAACAACAAAATTAATGTCTTATCTCAGAGCCCAGTGTTATAACAAACCCTGCATAAATAACAAATTGGAAGTGAAATGAAGAGGATGTTTGGAATCCAAATAAACTCAACTCTTCAAAAAGAAGGAAGGAAATTTGCTAATATTCCAAAGAAATTCTTTCCATTATACCGCAATCCAGATGTTTGGTAAAAATTAGATATTAATGATAGATATTTAAGTACCTAAGAAACTTATGACCTGCAGCCTGAAAGCAATTTATATACAATTCATCCAAACCCCCTTCTAAACAATTAATTTTAATTCAATATTATAAAACAATCTGAGATGGAAAAACTAAGCACAAGGAAATAAAATTAAGGTCAAAGAGTAATTCCATTGAAGATATGATTAAAAAGTTTAAAAATCAAATTTATTAACCTACTGGTGGTTTCTTTATTACCAAATTCCAATCTCATATATTCTCCTAATATATCTAAGGAAGAAAGAGTAACACAAATACACTTCCCCTTCATTTCTCTGACAAAAAGTTGAGGGCACTAGCTAACCCTAGATCAGTTTCTTTTAATTTACAGATGTATGATGAATATAAGAAACTTCTATTGGTTTTGAAAGTATATGCAAAGCAAACCATAACTGGTTTAATTCTGTAAATGAAAAAGACAAAACAGGTTTATCAGAACAGGTTATTCCCCACTATTCTCAACGACAAAATCAGCAATTAAAAAAAACCAAACACGTGTACACACCTAGAACAAGAGCAGCAGTTGGAATTTCTCTGAGTTTTATTTGACTGCCCCAGTCTTTTGAATTCTTCTGGAATCCAGAATGAGACTTTTGCAGAAATTCAATCAGACTGTCAAACAGGTTTTTATTTAATTCCTCTTGGAGTCGCTATAAAGAAAACACAAAACTTTATGAATTATTATTAGTGGTAATCTAATGAGTCTTTCCAAGTTTGGGAAAGAAAAGTGTCATGAATTCAATCCCAAAGACTGCATGTAAAATGATTATAAAATGGATGAAATAAAAAATGTTTTTTCCTTAAATCTCTAGTGCTTAGTGCTTTGGATTCCCTCATTTATTCATTCAAGAAACATTTACGAACCACCTTACAAAGGAAAGATAGTCTCTACTCTAAAAAGTGAAGAAATTGAGCAAGAACACTTACAATTAAAACACATTGTGTATAGTGCTATGATAATACAGTCATGTGCCACATTAACGACATTTGGTCAATGACAGACCACATATACGACTGTGCTCCCATAAGATTAGTACCATATAGCCTGGGTGTGTAGTAAGCTATACCATCTAGGTTTGTGTAAGTACTCTCAATGATGTTTGCACAATGACGAAATCACCTAAGGATACATTTCTCAGAACGTATACCCCTCGTTAAGCAACGCATGACTATATAGGAACAAAGAGTATCCAATCCAATTTAGGAACAAAGATCATCCAATTTAAGCTGAGGATATGATATATTTGAGCCAAAGCATTAGAGCAGGCTATGGAGGAGGTGATGGTAGGTAAAAGAAAGTCAGAAGGAATGGGGAGTGAAGAAGGCAAGGAAGGAAGAAAGCACCAAACATCTGGGGAACCATAGGTATAGCTAAGCATAAAGAACATGAGAAGTGGTAGGGAATGAGGCTGGACAAATAAGCAAGGGGCCAGAGGAGGAAAATACACATGTGATGTTAATGGCTTTGGATTTTATCCCATGGGGAAAACCACTGGAGGGATTTAAAGCAGAGATATGATTAAATGAGGGTAAAGAAGGGTTAACCTGGCAGCACTGTAAAGGCCAGATTAGAGGGGATCTGAGAGGCTGCACTGGTAGAGGGGCTGGAAAAATCTCTGTAGCCTGGCATGGGGCTGTATCTGCCTGAAGGGAGGACTTTCCTAATTTGGTCAATGGTGCCGGTGGGGCTAGTGACAGATCTGAAGGGTTTGACATCAGAGGCAGGGACGTCAGGAGGGTATGATAATCCAGGTTAAGAAATGAAGAGGGTCTAAACTGGAAACCGCAAACTCAAATACCTTCAAGGGTCCCATAGAATTCATGAACGGGCAAAGCCAGTAGCTGTAACGCAATAAGAGTGGTGGGAAGCAGCAATAAACTGGAGAGTGCATCATAACCCTCCTAAAGGCATTAAAAAACAAAAAAATACAACGCTGTTGGTCAAGATGTTGGCCCTAGAGTATGAATTTGCTACGATGGTGAAATTTTTCAGCGCTCGATTATAAAGAACATGGATATAAGGATGAAGGAGTGAAGTAGTTTAGAAACAGCTTGATTTCTTACTTATATAACAGAATGGATAATTTAAAGAGTGCCACCATTTAAAAGCTGTGAGGAAATGTAAAAGGCCCCTTGCCTTAGCAGCTATTATTATAAACATGTTCTGGTACCTGAAGCTACACTTAATACCTGGAAGGTGAGGGTTTTTTTTAGGATATACAGATACGGTTAACCAATACTACCTATATTTCATCAATACACTTGTAAAGTGGTGGAAAGGAAAATGGGAAGCAACAAACATGAGATTTACATATTAGAGAAAAGTTAAGTTATTAAAAAAAGCATTCACCTGAGTTTCACATTTCATCTGCTGCCATATCAAATGATAAGTTTCAAATCGAAGCTTACTGTCCTCAGACTCATCTTTCCCTTTATTAAAATAGTCCTCTATGAACACAGAAAGAAATGTCAGTTTCTTTTTTATATAATAAAAGTTAGAAAATCTCTATGGAAAGTCACACAGTAAGTGATGGGGCTGAATTTTTTTATATGAATCAAAAATATATATATTTGGGAAGAAAAAATACTCAATGTCCTTTACATTTGATTTTCTTTATATACTTATATTTTTACTATATTAATTGTATCTATAAGATTAAAAATATCTTTTTTAATTTTTAGATTATATTTCAATTATTTGCTTTTGAATTTCTAGGGTTTTTTCCCCCATTGGTAATCATAAATCACTGAAGCTTTTAATAATTTTCTCTTAACTCATTTGAATCCATAATACATGCATTTGGTTAAAAATGTATTAAATCTTATAAAAGTGTACACAGTGAAAACTCCATTTTCCTCCCATCTCTGACTCCAAAGACCAGTGCCCCAATCTTGCTCTTGAGAGGCAACCACTGTCATCAGCTTCTTAAATATCCTACCAGAGATAGTCTGTCTAACAGTTTTTATTTAAGGGGTTTGGTTTGAGGTATATACATTTAATATTAACGTATTTTCACTATTTGCTCTTATTCTAAGGGCTTATATACTTTGCTTCACATATTTGCTTTGAACTCTCCTTTATTAAATGATTCTTAGTACAACAATTCTTGTTCTTTTGTTTGATTGACATAGTTTAGCCTAGCCTTTTATTTAGTCTGTATTATTTTATATCCTTTTTGAATGCTTTCCTCCAAATAGCCATTTTTCAAAACACCATTTACTGCAGTGGTTTTCAAATTTTTTAAACCATGATCCACATTAAGAAATACATTTTATGTTATAATCTAACACACATATATATAACAGAAACAAAAACAAAAGTCCCACAAATAATACTTATCCTTATCATGTGATAGGAAATGTTTTCTATTCTGTTTTTTAAAACTATCATGACCCACTAAACTGATTTCATGACTCAGACTTTCAACCCTTCAGTTTGAAAAACAGTTATTGAATAATCAATCTATCCTTTCTTCCACTGCTTTGAGATGCCTTCATTGTCTAAATACTTATATATACTTGGAACTATTTTTGAGCTTTTTCTTTTGTTCTACTGCATCCAACTCTATTCCTATACCAGTCCTGAACTGTTTTAATTATTGTAGCTTTGTAATATGTTCTAATATCAAATAGATTAATGTCTTCCACCACCACCAAACATTATCATTCTTGTTCAAAAAATTTTAAGCCATTCTTTTAAATTAATTTTGTCATTTCTCAAAAATAATTACACTGGTATTTTGACTGGATAAAATAAAATCTGTAGATTGAGTCGGGGAGAAATGACTCTTTGTTTCGCCCTGGGAAAGATTCACCCTAAGCTAACATCTGTGGCCAATCTTCCTCTCTCTTTTTTTTTTAATTCCCCAAAGCCCCAGTACATAGTTGTATATTATAGTTGTAAGTCCTTCTAGTTCTCCTATGTGAGCCACCTCCATACCATGGCAACTGACAGACGAGTGGTATGGCTCCTCACCTGGAAACCAACCCCAAGCAGCCAAAATGGAGCCTGCCAAACTTTAACCACTAGGCCATCAGGGCTGGCTCAAAATGACATTTTTAATATGTTAAAAAAATTCACATCCAAACATTACAGGTCTCTTCCTTTAATCAAATATTTTACATCCCTTATAGTTTTCTACTTCCCTTCATATTTCTTGTTGTTTACTGTTCATATTTTATTGTAACAGCTAGAACTTTCACAGTATTAAAAAAATAATTGTGAAAGTACATATTTTGTTCCTGATTTTACAGAGATACTGCTAGCATTCTGTCATTAAGTTTTAACATTAACTGATAATTTGGGATAGAAATTCTCTTTCATGATAAGGAACTTACCTTCTAATCATAGTTGACTGAGATTTTTAGCAAATATTGATTTTTTAATTTTATCACACCTTAAAATATATTGAAGTCATCATACGGTAAAATGGTAGACAAGGTTATAGCATAAAAACGCAAACAAAAAAGGCAAGGAGATACACTACTAAGAGAGCAGAATAACAAGGTAGCCTTATATAAAACAAAAATAGTCATTTCATTTTGATAATGCATACAATCATAGTAAAATGTTAAAGTGGGAAGTCAAGACAAGAACTTTTTATGTGCTGAATTACACTGCATCAAAATAGGTAACAAAAATACTGTTAGAAATTGGGAAACAACAGCACTAGGACACTTTAACCCGTTATCCTAACTTCTCTCAGTCATTTAGAGATCAGGTAGGTAAAATACAAACAAGCACTGAGGGGACAGGAAGAACATAAGTGGTCACTGTTGTCGTCAGGTCTCCTCCTGCTCCCACTCACAGCGCTTCAGTTCAGTGTGAACACCTCCTACAGCGCCAGGGCTGCGGCCGGTCTCTCTCTCCCCAGCCCCGCCCCGCCACTTCTACCCAGCTGCTTCCCAGGATGTGCAGTCATCCACAGAGCACTGAGAGGGAGAGTTACCAGTCTCCTCTTAGGTATATGCCCAAGGGTCTTCAAGTCAGGGGACAGATGGTGGGCAAAATGCAGAGCATCTTCCTACTTCTCCAGGCAATCTGTTTCAAGAATTGAAGCCAGTGAAGGCAAGTGCTAAAATCTGGATATGTTTTCCTCATTCCTGCTCCATCGGGCTTATAATCAAGGTCAATACCTCTAAGATTCTTATATTCTAACACTATTTCTTGTTCTTAGAGCACCACAATGAAAAAAAACCCCAAACTTAATGTACTTCTAAAGCAAAGTTCAAATTATACAATTACACACATTAGGCTTACTAATACTAAAATCTTTAAACAAATTTTAACAAATTGTAGTTGAAATTCAATACAAAAAGTTCTAAGCAAAAACTCTCCTCATATTATGAGAGGCAGTATCAGGTAATGGTTAGGCCACAGGCTCTGGAATCAGACAATTCGGGTTCAAATCCCAGATCTGCTACTTACTAGCACCATCCTCATATATTTTAATGGAGATGAAAATAATATATTCCTCATAGTTTGCTGAGAGGATTAAACAAATTAACACATATAAACTGCTCAGAATAGTCTGGCACATAATAAACACCCAATAAATGTTAGCAATTTTATTAGATATAATTACATTGCTGATGATATCAGATGTCATTTCATGCTATGTATCCTCCACGGATAATGGGGGAACAAGTCTTGACTTTTCTCTGAAAATGAACTATTTCTAGTTAAGTTTAGCAATCTCCAACATTAAAGAAATTTGTTCATAAGTCAATCACTTAAAAACAAAATAATTTGGGGGGCCTGCCATGTGGCCAAGTGGTTAAATTTGCACGCTCTACTTTGGCAGTCCAGGGTTTTGCCGGTTCGGATCCTTGGCGTGGACATAGCCATGATGAGGTGGCGTCCTGCACGCCACAGTTAGAGGGACCCACAACTAAAATATACAACTATGTACTGGAGGGATTTGGGGAGAAAATAAATAAATAAATAAAATAATTTTAATGTAGCTATTCTTTGTTCATTATTTCCAAGTCCATCGCTAACACTTTTCATTTTTGATGGGGAGGAGGGCAAGGAATACAGATAGCTTCAGGTTTCTTTGAAACTAAGTCTCTAACGGTGTAGAGCTCAAGATTGCTGTTTATTCCCCTGTTAACAAGAAACTGGATTCTTATCCTAAGTCATACTTTCTACGCTGTTCCTCTCAATATGAACCATTATTTTACTACTTTATCCTTGAGCACACAAGTCTCTTATCTAGCTAGTCTCAAACCGAAGGATTAAGACCCTAAGGTCTGCAGCATATCATGATTTCAAAAAATCCCATTCTATATATTCAAATTATTTATGTCCTTAGTCAAACAATGGTATAGTTGTTTTTCCTTTTTAATTAAAAACTAGTGCATGAGTATGCTTAATTCCATGTCACAATTTTTCCATTGGAATGAATTTTCACAGTGCTTACTATTGAGTGTAAATACTCAATAAGCCTGTGGGGCGCTGGGTCCCACTCCCAGAGATTCTGCTTCACTCGGTCTGGGTCGGGGTCTGGGCATTAGTGTCTTTAAAAAGTTCCCCAAATTGAAATCTGAATACGATTGGTGGATTGCACCAATGTCAGTTCCTTCATTGTGATACTATACTATAATTATGCAAAATATTACCACTGGGAACAACTAGGTGAAGAGCACAGGTGAACTCTATACTATTTCTTGCAACTGCATGGAATCTACCATCCTATCAGGAAAAAAACAAAAACAAAAATAACTTTTTTCTTTAAAAAGTTCCCCAAGTGATTCTAATGTGTAGCCACAATTGAGAACCAGTGCAATAACACTTTCTGTCTAACAGTAATATTGTGTTTCTGACTAACAGTACTATTGTGATTTGTTTGAAGAAGTCTTTTTTTTTTTTTGAGGAAAATTAGCCCTGAGCTAACATCTGCTGCCAATCCTCCTCTTTTTGCTGAGGAAGACTGGCCCTGAGCTAACATCTGTGCCCATCTTCCTCTACTTCATATGTGGGACGCCTGCCACAGCATGGCGTGCCAAGCGGTGACATGTCCACACCGGGACTGGAATCGGCAAACCCCTGGCCGCTGAAGTGGAACGCGTGAACTTAACCGCTGCGCCACCAGGCTGGCCCAGAAGTCAAGTCTTCGTAACTGGATCACTAAATAGATATCTGGAGATAAATGAAGACAATGAAGGCAGTATCTTCTTTTTTAATAATTTAATTTTATTGAGGTATAATTTAACAAATAATAAAATACAATATGCCCATTTTAACAGTTTGATGTGTCCTAGCAAAAGTATACACCCATTTAAACACCCCCTCAATCTAGGGAACATTTCCATCACTCCAAAAAGTCTTTCTTGCCCTTTTACAGTCAATTCTCCCTACCTCACCCCAGGAAACCACTGAGATTTTTAAGACAATCTTTTTTAAAACATGGTGACATATCATTCAAAGGAAATTTACTTTCCAATTTGCCTTTTGAAGGTATATTTGGACTCCCTTTTAGATTAGAACCCTGGGGTGTCCCCTGATCCCTTGGATCTACACCTCAGAACATATCTGCTACATCAACAGGGTAAGTAAGCCAAGCTTAGACAAGAGAATTACTAAATTCAATTATGGTTAGCTTAGTTCTTAAAGTTTAAGACTTGGAGGAGGAAAACCAACAAATCTGACCATAAGACATCTTACCTATTGGCACAGAGATCTTTCTCTTCTTGAAGTTTGGCTTAAACACAAAACAGCCCTATAAAAAAGAAAGAAAAAAAGCATAAAGTCAAAGCTAAAGAGCAGACAAATCCGATTGACCAAGTATTTTATGGATAAGCAGATTTTTTAAAAAAGACATTTCTTTAAAGTGCTAAGAAATGACATCTCTTCTATCTGAATTAAAGAAGGAAAATTCTTAAACAACAAGGGGACTATCCATTTCTTTCTCTTCCTTCCCATGGGATGCTCATCTTTGATTTTGTTCTTTGTGACCTGATCTAAGAGGCAAAGAAAATAAAAGCTGATGAAATTTAAACCCACAAAGCTTCCATTTTTATAAAACTTAGATTAAATTGAAGGGCTACATAAATTAAAATGAAGATCACGAAGATCGAAAATAGTGACATTCTCCCATCTCAAGAGAAGTTATTTGTTATTTAATTAAACACCAAGTATCTAGATCCTTGACAGGAAATAGATAATTTTGGCTATTGTCTCACTTTACATACCTTTCTTCATCTGATAAACTCTTATTCATTTATCCATTAAAGTTCCACTCAAACTCACCTGCTCTGGGAAACCTTCCCCAATTCTGTAGTCAGAATTATTCCCTCTCCTGAGATCTCACAGTACTTGAATATCTTTATTTTGCTTTGTTTTAAATCACTCCCATTCTGTATCATAGTTATTTATGGGTCTGTCTCCCAAGCTAGCTTGTCAGCACCTTCAGAGCAGATTGCATTCAATTCATAATTGTTTCCCCCATGTTTAGTATAGTGTTAACATATACATTAGGCCATCAATATATGGAATGAGTGAATGCTTGCCGAGTAATTTTCCTGGTAATTTCCTACTTACATTTAGTCTCGTAACATTATTTGACTAGTGATATATAGCCCTCAAGCTACTGGTTCTGTGTTAATTCTACCAATCCTAAAGCCATACATCATGGATAGCTTCTGAAAGACTGCCATTTCTATGGAAAATGAAGAAAGAATGAAAGATACATACCTAGAAAAAGTCATCTCAGGATAGTGCTAAAGACAGCTGTGCAAGTATAAACTGGCCATTTGGATTACAGGATCCAAAATAAGAATTGTGCCTTATACTACTATATCTGCAACTAGTCGAACTATTTGGAATGTGCATACACATTTAGAAAAATCATGTAGTACCGCAACAAGCTTGTCATTGCCTCCTTTCTATAATCACCTGCAATTCAGTAAAGGAAAAGGAGCTCTGAAGGAGTGAGATATGAAGAGTGCCAGGAATGGATGCTAATAATATGGCAGTAGTACTAATACGGTTAACCACTTTGAACAGCTGATCAAGTGATGCTGTTTGAGATGGAGGAAGAAGTCTAGAAGGAGAGCCAAAAGCCAGAAAATATGACCAGGAAAGGGAAGTTGAGATAGGTTATATAAAAAAATAAAAAGCTGGCAGTTCCCTCAATTCCTGAAACAGTCCTTAAAGATTCTTATTTATGTAAGTCTCCTTCATAATCATCTCAATACAAGCATTTCTGTTACAATGCCATAAATGCTTTCCTGAAAAAAAAAAAAACCTCACAATTCTGCAAGATAGACAAAAATAAGAGAGGCTTATGCAACAAAAAAGATTAGGGGACAGACCACTCAAAACCTCGGGAACTTTATAACCAGGGCAAAACAAAAAGAGTACCAATCTTAATAAAAAGTACTAGCACAGTTAAATCTAGCATCACAGTCAATCCTTTGTAACCATAAACCCAATGGCTGGTAGTTCCTCCTTGATATGTAGTCTTGGAAAGCACAGCCATTAAGATAGTTCTTATGATTTCACAAATCCTCTCAGATGCATTATCTCATGTGATCCTCACAGTAATCCTCTGAAAGAAGTAATAAAAGCTAAGATTTATGAATGCCTAAAAATTTTTTTTATTTTAATTTAATCAAAATTAAAAATTAGATCCATGGTATAGCCTTCTTCACTAATCCACTGATTTAATGTAGGGAGAAATGTCTTTGCAGCTTCTTCATTTGCTTTCTCAGCTTTATCAGATAGCTTAACTTCAGGAGCTTCCGGTTGCACTCATATTAGGAAAGGTCTTACTTTACTTGGTCTGTAGTAGGGCTGTCTAATGGAACTTTCGATAATGATGGAAACATCACAGATCTGCGCTAATACAGTAGCCACGGCCACATGTGGTTATTGAGCATTTGAAATGGGGACTGAATTTTCAATTTTATTTAATTTTACTTTATTTTGATTCAAATTTAAATAGCCACACGTGGCTAGTGTCTGTCACATTGGACAATACATCTCTAGCGTTATCTTCTTACCAACTACACTATCGTGTCTTGCAATTCCTGGCAAGCGAGGCAGCCCAAATGGGAAGGTTTACATGATCTCATCTCACACACACACACACACACACACACACACACACACATATACACTACTTTCTCGTTCTCATTTTTTATAATGCTCCCTCTATCTCTACTCTCTGATTATACTGATTTTTCAATTCCTCTAATATGCCACTTTATTTCTATCTTCTGAGCCAAAGAACATGCCACTCTCTCTGCCAGAACAGCGCCGCTGCCTCCCAGTCCTTTGCTTGACTAACTTCTACTCATTTTTCAGATCTCAGCTAAAATGTCACTTTCTCTAGGCCTTCGCTGACCCCCGCCAATCTATATTAGGCTTATGTCGCTCTCCTGTTCTCTCACTTAGAACCTTCTTGCTTACACTTATCACAATTTGTGATCATCAGTTTATCTGTGTTTAATGTCTTTGAGTGCAGAAACAACCTATTTGGTTTACTGCTGTATCTCGGTACCTAGTAGCGCTTGGCGCATAGTACGTATCTATGAGAAGGAAAAAGGAGAGGAGACGGGGGCACATCGTCGGAGCATCCGGCCTCCACAAACCAGAACTCAAAAGTCCTCCTAGCCAGGTAGCTAAAGCAGATCGGCGCCGTCGCTCCCCAAGCAAAGTTGGCCTCAAGTAGACCTGGAGCGAAGAGCCCTAGCTTGGCCCGCCATTGCCTCCCCTCAAGCCGGCACACCGAAGCCTCTGTAACTTCCGCTTTATCCCTTCTACGGAAAGGAGAGAGGCGGCGGCGGAGCCCTAGTGGGCGCCTTCCCTCACGTACCTTGGACACCGACGAGGTGGCCATGGCCCCAGCGGCCCGCGGGATTACAGATGCACTCGGGATTTCCCGCGCGCCCTCGCGGCAGCGGGGCAGAGGTTAGTGCTGGGGCACGCGGCTCCGTGATTGGCCGGCAGCACCCTCGGGGCCGGCTTCCGGCGCGCGGAGGCGGGGCATGCAGAGGAGGGCGGGGCGAGGCAGGGTGCCCGCCGGCCCTGAAGCGCTTCGTGGAGTGGGCCATGGCGTGTGGCTTCCGCAGGTCTATCGCTTGTCAGGTACGGATCCGGGAGTTGGCAGGAGGACCCCCGCGGAGGCTGGCACCCCGAGACTCTTTCACTGCTGTGGGCCAGTCCTCAGTCAGCGGGAGGGGGGTTCCGCGGAAACCCTGTTTGTTTCTAGCGCCTCCTCACCCTTCTCTGGAGCTGCTGGAGCTGCTGAGGCAAACCCGCTGGAGGGTCGGGCCTGTGGCCCAGATAGTTTCTCAGGGTGAAAAGTGATGCGGGGTCGGTGAGCTGAGGAGTCGAAAGAAAGATTTCTTGGACTCTTAAGATCTGGCAGTAGTGCTCTTTTATTTAGAGACTAGTATGGAATAGCATGGGGACAGGACCCACGGGCAGCCAGAGATGCTGCTGGCATGGGGAGCTGCTGCTGCTGCCGGCATGGGGACAGGACCCATGGGCAGTCAGAGCTGCTGCGTGGGGACAGGACCCACGGGCAGTCAGAGCTGGTGCTGGCATGTTGCTGCTGCAAAACTGAGCTGAGGGTAGGGCTAAATTTAAGGCATAGGTATGTGAGTTATCTCTTTACAAGACAAAGGAAAGAATATGTAAAAAAGTTAAAATGGTATCAGTGCAGGTGGGGGTCTGGCTATTGGGTGGTCCTATAACTTTTAGATAAGAATCAAATAGGATTAAGTAAAGGCCAGAAGCCACCACCCTAAATACTATCTTCAGCTAAAGACAAAGGAGGATGTTGGGGGGGGGGGGGCGTGTCAGTTACATGAGGTTGCCAGACGGTAAACAACTTAAGTCCTTGCCTTCCCCATTAAGAGTTTCCAGAGAGGACACCATCCCACCTTCCTCCTGGTGCAAAGAGGGTGGCATCTTTACAGATGGAGATTTCCCTTACAAATGTAAATGTTTCCCAACGAAGGGCAAGCCAACTCTGAGGGCAAGCTCCTCAGAGTTGCTTTTATTACAGGTAACCAGCCTAAAATAATCCTCATCATAAACCCCCCTGAACCCATTTGGCCCCGAAATAGTTTGGGGATATGGAGGATGGTCAGTCTTCTATAACTACTTCCGGCTGTACAAGGTCGTAGAGCTGTCCCTAAATGGGGCCATAGGGGTACAGGCAGGAAGTTCAGTGGACTGGAAGGCTGTGGCTGTGGAGTCCAAGGCTGACAAGGTATACAGAGCCTCTGGAGATGAGACAATCATTTGATGAGAGGTGGTCCAGGAGGTGAAACTTTGTTGACGTGTGGAAGACAAACAATGAAATAGACAACAAATTATAATAAGAAATACGAGCAATATGATTAACCCAATTGAATAAGGTTTTGATAGTAGTCTAGAAACCTGGACCTGACCATAAGTTCAACCAATCATTTAGAGATAGGGTAGGATCAAACATGGATTTAATTTGGTGGCTCTATCAGATAGGAAGGCAGAGATATTTTGATGGTAGTCAGGAATATAAACACAACATTCAGTTTTTATAATGGCACAAGTGCCCCCCTGTGCTGCTGTCAAGACATCCAGTGCCATTCGGTTTTTGAGGACTGCCTTACACATTTGGGATACTTCTAAATCGAGCAGCGAAAGGCTATGTTGTGTATCATTCAATGTTTTCATAGTAAATTTGTTTGGAGCTTCCATGTGCCAGATGACACTTTCAATTCCTAATTGGGGAAGGAAAACTGAGGCAAGGTGGTCATACCAGTGGAAGACAGAGTGGGTCCAGTGCTGTTGCAGGTTGGGTAGGTTAGCAGGAGGAGATATAGTAAATGTAGTTCTACCTTGCATCCAGACGAAACCTAGGGTGCGTTGAAACCTAGGGTGCATCGTCCAATCCATCCAGGTGGCAGCCAAGGCCATAAGTTGGAGCCAGATAACCACTGAGTGCCATTAGGGGATAACCAACGTACGCTGGGCCATCTATCCCAGTCAATCCCAACCAATCAGTATTTCTTAAGGCTATGATATGAGAACACATATAACTGGGAATTTTTCCCATAGGTCGGGTGCTATTAGGCCATGTATCACAGGTGTGATTGGTTTGTTCCCAACATAGAGTGGCCTTTTGACTGAGTTGACCACTAGTAGGAGTGAGCCAAATATATTCATCCCAAATTTGATATAGTCCATCCTGTGTGTATCGATAAGTTGGGGACTTTACCTTTGGAACTTGTTGTTTATGATCCACCTGTGACAGGGCACATCTAGTTAGTATTTGGGCAGTAGTATTGAAGGAAAAGGCTTGATTGTGACCAGGGAACTCCCTGGTATCAGAGATGGATGGCCACAAGGAGACATTATGATTAGTAATAGATGAATCTTGTAGAAGAGAAGAGCTAGAATCTAATATCCATGAATGTGTACTATAGCTTCTACTGAAACATAATTTTTCTCTCTAAAATCACCCTCACTTTTATAAAAGATAGCCAAATTAAGATAAACTGGTTTGCAAAATAAGTGTCATTTCAATAAAACTTGGTCCAATTATTTACATAAGTGCAGCAAGAATAGCAATTGATTATACAGGCTTTTTAAAATCTGCTTTGCTGGAATCTTTTATTAGGAATCTCAGATTGAACTGTAAAGGTCTCTCAAGGCCAGAAAAGCCAAGCCAAGGACTTGCCATCAGATTTTACCTGTAGTACCTACAGGTTTGGGTGGAGTCCTCTCTTCTCTAGGTCCCCCAAAATATTCTGAGGTTCCTTGCATCTGCCAGATAAGCAAGCTTCCTTACTTACCCGATAAGATTGCTAGAATCTCTGTAAACAAGGTACCAGGCGTATATTTCCAGGTGGCTTTATTTCCAGAAAGTCAACCTTATTCCTCAAAGGCAGTATTGTCATATCTGAGCCTGTACGTTTCTCAAATACGACATTCCAGTCAAAGCCTTGGTAATATAACCAATGTGTCCTGTTATAAGGAGAATAGATTCTTATTGAACTTAGGCAGATACTGCCATGAAATAACCATACTCACTCAAAAAGAGTTTCCAAATTCTGGAGGGATCAGGGAGGGAGAAAAAGATAAATGTTTCAGTTTTGCTCATAAAGGTATAATTTCACTAAATTGCTGTAAGTCATAGTTAGCATAAGAGAAAAGAGAAAAAGATTTCTTTAATTCTAAGAAAACAAAACAACACATCAAAACTCAACAATATTTCAAACAGAAGTCATAAAAAGTTATGATCATCCTCATCAGTTCACACAGTCCTGTATAATTGATTCTTGAGCTTAATCTTCTGTTAGCAGATCTGTGAGCTCGGTTTCTGTTAGAATTCTGTAATTTCTTACCCAGTTCAGTTTTACAATCTGAAAGTTTATCAGAAACCCGTAGTTTAGGGGCTGGCCCTGTGGCCGAGTGGTTAGGTTCTCGCACTCCGCTGCAGGTGGCCCAGTGTTTCGTTGGTTCGAACCCTGGGTGCAGACATGGCACTGCTCATTGAACCATGCTGAGGCAGCATCCCACATGCCACAACTAGAAGGACCCACAACTAAGAATATACAACTATGTACCGGGGGGCTTTGGGGAGAAAAAGGAAAACAATAAAATCTTTAAAAAAAAAAAAAAAGAAAGCCATAGTTTAGAATCTTATGTCAGAATCCTTTCCAGGAATTGCTCTGAAGATGAAACATTTGCAAAAGCAAAAAGCATCAGAGTAAAACAGCAACTATCTGTAAATGGACAAAAGACTCAAAAGGGCAATTGACAAAGAAACTTGGCTACTTCTGTGACATACAACACTTCTAGATAATAACTAAAATTATGACTGATAACCAGGACAGATCAGAATTTTAGGAATGTTATATAATTTTAAGCCACCTATATTAATAGCATTTACCCAAATAATACCACCTAAGAAAGTTTATCATCACTTATTTGACAGTGCTTCCCCATGTAGTTTAATAGACCAAATAAGCCTAATTAATTTAGTATTTTCCTCCTTATAGGAAGAGAGAGAACAAATTTCTTTGAGAAGTCTCAAGGGCCCTCTGAAAATCCTCAGAGAAATTCTTTTTCCTTCCACAAGGTCAAAAGAAAGCCTTCATTCAGGATTTGAATATTTTTGAGGGAGAAGCTTGTCAAAAATATCAAAAGTTTTTGGGGCTGGACCCGTGGCTGAATAGTTAAGTTCGCACACTCCGCTGCAGGCGGCCCAGTGCTTCGTCAGTTCGAATCCTGGGCGCGGACATGGCACTGCTCATCAAACCACGCTGAGGCAGCATCCCACATGCCACAACTAGAAGGACCCACAACAAAGAATATACAACTATGTACCGGGGGGCTTTGAGGAGAAAAAGGAAAAAAAATAAAATCTTTAAAAAAAAAAAAATCAAAAGTTTTTAAAATACTTCTTCAAATAGGAAACAATGCTCACTGTGTAACAATGCTCAGGTATATACTCAAAATGACAACATATAGTCAAGGGTAAATAGCTAAACAGTCAAAATTTTAAGAGACCTCTTTTTTCCCCGAACCTAACCAATTGTTTTAACAAGCCAGATTCTGTCTTTTAGGTAGACTTAGAGCAGGCCAAAAATTCAAGAAAATTAACCTTTTGAGAGAGAAAACCAAATTCTAATTTTTGTACCAGTTTACTTTTTCATATTAAAACCCACTTAGTTAATTAGATTCATTTTAATCTTAGCCAGGTTTACTAGCATAAAACTCCTTTCAGAATTTCTCCTTCACAAACCTTCTACAACTTTCTTTTTGCCTTCAGAATTTGTCCCATGCTTTCTTTCTTACTTTCTAGTACTTTAGGACAAATTTATCTTTCTTAACCCAACAAACAAAATATTTCCATTCTTTATACATTCTTTACTGAAAACATACATTTTACTTTCCTTGAATACAGAGCTGTTTCCCTTATTAATTCCCAGTAGCTTTAATTATATAGGTTAATAAGAACTTTTAACCCTTAACAGACCATAGTAAACACTAAAAAGCTAAGCAATTACGAATTGTCTTTTACATCAGCATTCTAAACACTTCATAATTTCTAGAAACATGCCACTTCACAATAAAACACAAGGCATGCT